CGTAGGCCTGAACTCTGGGCCTGGGCACTGTCCCTCAGCTCTTCAGCTCAAGGCTAGCGCTCTACCACTTGAGCCACAGCGCCACTTCCAGCTTTTTTTCTTTTTTGCTTATGTGGTACTGAGGAATCGAACCCAGGGCCTCAGGCATGCAAGGCAAGCGCTCTACCACTGAGCCACCTCCCCAGCCCACTCAGTGAGTCTTTTATTTTCCACTGAACCACCAAAAAACTGGAAGTAGAGCTGTGGCTCAAAGTGGTCGATCCCTAGCCTTGAGCAAAAGAGCTCAGAGATAGCTGAGTTCTAGTCCCATGATTGACAAAAAACAACCACCCAGCCAGACACCAGTAACTCACACCTATAATCCTAGTTACTCAGGAGGCTGACATCTGAGGATAACGGTTCAAAGCCAGCCCTGGAAAGAAAGTCCATAAGACTCTTATCTCCACTAAACTGCCAAATATGCCAGAGGTAGACCTATGACTCAAGTGGTAGAATGCTAGCCCAGACCCCGAGTTCAAACTCCAGGACCATTCCCCAACCCCCCAAAATAAAACCTCTTGTAATGAGTTCTATAGTTTGCTGTGTATTGAATAAGTTTCCTTGACTTTCTAAGGCTTCTTTTCATTCAATTGCTGCTAATACAACATAACTTTTCAGAAGCAAAGCTCCTCAGATGGAGGGGAGGGGAGGAAGGGAGGAGGAAGTTTCAATCACTCTCTTTTAGTTTTTTTTTTTCCTTCTTTTTTTGCCTAAAGCAGAGTGGCAAAAAGCAATGATTTCTAAAGGACAGTCCTGTGACACAACACTTGGAGTGAAGGAAGTAATCTGTACAGTATGTTCACCGGGTACTTAGTTCCTGGAGTACATGTGGTTTCCCCCCACAACCACCACCACCATAAAAGGGTGGTGGAGGCAGGGAAGAACCACATTTAAGACCTAGCATCATTCTTCCCTACAGTGTCATTTCCAGAGCCAGATAAAAACAGCATCAGGAAGCTAGAACGAGTGTGCAACTTAGCTGTTGGAAAAACATTCTCCATTTCATGCTGGAGCCGGGCGGTTACACCCAGAAATCACAATAGCTTCTCTCTTCACAGAACATTAACTGGTAAGTAGTTTGCATATTTGTTTTCCTCAAAATGACATAAATTCAACTGACCTGGTGAGGATTCTTGAACATGATTTATTTAACAAAATAGCATTTGGACTTGCTGCCAGGTAGCAAAAAAGAAAAAAGAAAAAAAGAAAAAAGAGGGGGAGGGAGAGACTACTTCTCATAGTTTCCAAAATGCCTATCTTCTGGCCCGGTCTAAGGTATTTAGGGACTATTGTCCAGGATTGGCTACAGCTGCTAATGGATCAAGAAAAAGGACAGAAAAAGAGCACGTTGCAGGGCTGGGGAGGGGCGGGATGAAGAATGTTCAGTAATTTTCTCAGTCTTTACCTAGTTTATAACAACTCATAAATTTGGGTTGTGAGTCGCCGTGATCCAGAAAGCTAAAAATTATGGAAGGTTCACTGTAGAGGAACTAGGAAAAAGAAAACTCAGTTAAACTATTGTTTTTTTTTTTTTTTTAAAGATCACCAGGCAGGGAAAAACAAAACAAAACAGAAAAGTGGCTCCCAGCCTCTTTCCTCTCGGGTTTCCTAGTTCGGGCCGCGTTCTGAAACTTCATGGCCGATCACGGCCGACCACTCCCCGAACAGAACAGTCAGGGTTGTAAGGATCACTCCTACAACAGACGCTCTTGTCTGGGAGCTCTTTGGGGATCTGTACCCCCCACCCTTGACCCGCTGCCCCTGTCCCGTCTGAGAACTCTGGGGGCACCGTCTGCCCCTCGGTTCCTGCGTGGGGGTCAGTCACTTTGCGGCAAAGTGCGCGACGCGGATGCCGCGGTGCCGGGCCACGGGCCACGCTCCGCTCCGTGGCAGGAACAAACCTGTCCGTGGCACCCCCGCCTCTCCCCGACGAGGCCCGGGGTGTGGTGGTCTGTGCGGCCAACCACGTGGCCGGGGGTGGCGGGGATCGCCCACGTGACACCCCGAGGCACCGAGATTACCCTGAGGTCCTCCCCGGGCTGGTGTGCGCTCCGAGATGAGTCAGCTCTCCTAGGCCGTACATCAGAGGCCGAGAAAGCCTGATCCCCCCCCAAATCAGACCAGAAACAACACAAGCGGCGCGTGGGGCGCGCACACACGCACGTACACACGCACACACCCCTCTGGTCACCACGTGAGGCCCCAGTGCGGGCCTGCACCGCCGGGGGAGTTACTAAACGCCCGGGGACCTCCTTCTTCCCGTGCCCGCAGCAAGAATGGCCCACCCACGTCCCGGTCCCTCTTTGGAGCAGGTAGAGCACTACACGGATGCGAACACGACCGGCAGGAAGGCAGAGACCTGCCGCGTTGTACTCACCTCCCCTGGACGCGGGTGCCGAGTGCACGGGGATTCCCAGCCCAGGGCCAAGCGGAAGTGAGGTGGGAGGCCGGAGGTGGGAGGCGGGAGGTGGACGGTGGACGGGGAGGTGGACCGTGGGAGGGGGTGAGGGCTGGGTGCGATCGCTCCCATGGTGGTGCACCTTCAGAGCCTTCCTTTATTTTCGGTGCCTTGTAGTAAAATGTACATTGAAGTTGGCCTTTCGAGGCTTTTACGCGTGTCCTGTTCGGGGTGTGGACCTCACGTGCTCGTGGCAGGACCGCCCCCCCCCACAATTTGTTCATCCTGCAAATTGGAACTTTTTGGGGGGAAGGAGGAGCAGAAGGTCGTGGGGCTTGAACTCTGGGCCTGGGCGCTGTCCCTGTGCTCTTCAACTCAAGGCGATCGCTCTACCGCTTGAGCTACAGCGCCACTTCCGTTTTCCTAGTGGTTTATTGGAGATCAGAGTCTCACGGACTTTCCTGCCCGGGCTGGCTTTGAACCGCGATCCTCAGATCTCAGCCTCCTGAGTAGCTAGGATTACAGGCGTGAGCCACCATTGTCCGGTTACCGCTGTCCATATTCCTTTTGTGTGTATGTGTGTGCGCGGACGCGCGCGTGCACGTATGCACGCACGCGCGTGTGTGTGCTACACACATGCGCATTAGTTCTAGGTCTTGAATTCCGGGGGCCAAGGCGCTCTTGGCTTGGCTTTTTCCCACTCAAGGCTGGCGCTCTACTACCTGTGCCATGCCTCCGCTTCCTGCGTTTTCTATCTTTTCTCTTCTTTGTGTTGGTTGAGCTTTGCCACTCAAGGTTAACGCTTTACTTCTTGGAGCCACATCGCCACTTCCGGTTAATGGGAGCTAAAAGTCTCCCGGACTTTCCCTCCCCAGGCTGACTTCAAACCTCCACCCTCAGATCTCAGCCTCCCGAATAGCGGGGATTACAGGCGTGAGCCACCAGCGCCTCGCCACACTTCAGTTTTTTTCTTATTAGTTAATTGCAGATGAGAGTCTACAGAGCTTTTCTGCCCAGGCTGGTTTCAAAACACAACCCTCAGTCTTGGCTTCCTGAACTTGCTCAAAGGATTACAGGCGTGGGCCATGGGAGCCTGCCTAGCATGCCATGTTTTGCCCTTGTTTTTGTGCACAGCTGAGATTTTCCAGTATGTGCTGAAGATCCTTAGGATAGATACATTTCTATTTGTCTCTAATTTTTAGTATACTGCTCTGAAATTTTAAACCAGCGTGTAGTTGTGATTCTTTTCAGCCTAAAGGTTTCCTTAAAGGGGACATCAAGTGTCAGTGTCTCCAAGTGTCAGAAAGCTGTTAATTCACAATTTAATATCACAAGTGACACACGGAACTGTTCAGTCTTTTAACACAAGCTTATTAGAAAAACTGGACTCTCACAAGAAAGATAGAACAGTGCCCAACAGAGCCCAGAGCAAGGAGAGATTTTTGTTTTCATTAGCACACATTAATTGTACAAAGGGCTTTAATTATATTTCCAGGAACAGTGTGCTTTGATCAGGAGAGATTTTCCTTAGCAAACAATTCTCCTAAAAACAATACCGGAGAACAATTAATTCAAGACATGTTAATTACAAGATGATGATTCCAAAGTGCCAGTTAGTAAGTTTTTTGTTTTGTAAATATAAATTCTTTCCAATTTGATTGTTAGGTCACCTGACTGATGCCTTTCCCTCCCTCCCCTACATTTTTGTTGTTGTTATTGCTGTCCGTGTGTTTGATTTTTAGCCTTTTATCCATCTGCAGTAGTTCTTAGATTGTGTCTCTGGTTGGTAAGAGGAAATAAGGCAATAAGAATAGACCTGGTGCTCCAAGCCCTAACTGTAACATAATTAACAGTCTCTCCTCCCATTACATTTTTTTTTAACAGTGTTGTGGCTCAAGCCTAGGTTTTGCGGGTATTAGGATATCATTTTACCTCTAAGGCTCATCGCCATTCTCAGCCTTTTTTTTTTTTTTCTCTGAAGTAAAACCTGTCGTCTAGAGAAAGATTTGTATTTCTATGGGTCTAAAGTATTCTTTTTCCTCACTCTGCCAGGCTTCTGGTCGTATCAAGTTGCCCCTGCTGAATCAGCAGCCTCATTTTTCATTGTCTCTGGCTGGGTTCACTGCCCGCTGCCTGCCCCCTCACTGTCTTGCTAAGGTAGAAGGACAACACAGAAGCAAAGAAAGGCCCCAAAGAAACCCTAGGCTTTATTTCCCCTGTGGCGCTGCCACTGGCTTCTTGTCACCAGCTTACTCTTCTTATTTAAGATGGGAGGTCCTGCTATGATTCTAGCTGCATGGTGACAGGGCCATCTTCCTGGTTTCCTGGCTGGGAGAATTGCCTCGCCTTGGTTAGAGGTAATGGCTCTTCTTGCCCCAAAGTAGAAAACTCTCTGTGTGTCTTTTAGCGCGAGTCTGGGCTGTCTGTGTGGTGTATTCTCCAGGATAGAGCAGGGGTGAGGGTCATTTTGCCCTCTTCCGAAGGGCTTTTTATTCTTTGTCTTTTTGTCAGTCATGCAGCCTAGGCACTATTCCTGAACTCTTCTGCTCAAGGCTAGCGCCCTACCATTTCAAACCATAGCCCCACTTCTAGTTTTCTGGTGGTTAATTAGAAAGAAACTTACAGAGTTTGCTGCCCCTGGCTTTGAACCTTGATCCTCAGATCTCAGCCCCCTGTGTAGCTAGGATTGCAGGTGTGAGCCACCAGCCTTCTCCTGGAAGGACTTTTTGCTGATACTGGCAACAGCAATACTTTGGGGAAGAAAAGACAGGCAACAGGCATTGTGCAGCACATATAGAAGGAAAACAGGCCTTCAGTGCAAACCTGCAATTTTGCTGTGTGTATGTGTGTGTGTGTGTGTGTGTGTGTGTTTAACAAGCCTTGTGTTTGTGCATATGTATAGGAGCCCCACACCAGAGGCTGAGAGAAGGACAAGAGTATTCTGTTGTACCCTTCGTGGTCACAGCCACACACGCTGCTCTCCTGCACTGCATCTCCCCTAATTTGGTACTAAGAGAAAGAGCAGGACCCACCTTTTCTCTGGAAGGGCTGTAGTGGACATGGTCATGGGTGTTACCAGTCTTTCTCTGAGTACTTCTTTAGACTGACCTAATAGTTAAGTGTCTGACCTGTGACCAGGTGTCCCTCACGGAGAAAATTTGTTTAGACAGATGTTCTAGGATTTATGAGAGGGTTACACCTCGATAAAACCATTGTAAGCTGAAAATATTTTCAATTGAAAACAGATTGAATGTGTGTAACCTTCTGAACATCGTTGCTTAGCAACACAGTGCACTTCAGAGTATGTGTTTTTTTTTCCCCCACCCCTCCTCATGATTGCATGGCTGATTGAGAGCTGTGGCTGCGTGCCCTGCCCAGCATCTGAAGAGTGTATATGGCTGAATATTGCTAGCCAAAAAAAAAAATATCAGAATTCAAATTATGAAGTACGATATCCACTGAATGCCTGTCACTTTCCAAGCAAACTCAAAGTAGAAAATCTTCAGTTGGGTTTGTCTATCTTGGCAGAATCCTACAGCTTTTGTCTGTCTTCTGTCCAGTTTGTTCTTATGAAGATAGCCACTCTGTAAGACTGCATTGATCAGGAGAAGAGTTCAAGTGTGTAGGTCAGGGGAGACAGAGTGTGAAACACGACAAGCCCTGTTATAATT